AAGTCTCAAGTAATACTCCCTCTTCTATGGATTTTCCCTATATTTTAGACTAAAAAAAATAAGTTAAATGTTTCCTTTTTGGCTATCATGAGTTATTCCTCTTTGTTTCCACGGTAACACATCTCAATCCCACAAAACACTCCCTCAAAAGAAAAAATGCAATCCTTCAGCCCCACAGTAGCTATTCTAGGAATCTCTTCTACAGCAATACTGTCACAAATGTATGTGTCCTATAGCACTATTTGCCACTTTGGAAAAATGGAAATGACTAAATATCCACCTTTGAGAGAAGGATTTAATCAATTATGGCACATTTATTCTACAAAATACTACGCAGTCATTAAAAAGGAGCTACGTATACATTGCAGTGAAAGCAAATAGAGCCAAAAAAATGTCTTTCATTGTATTGAACAACAATGCTGTTATATGTATACCTAGGAAAATATTAAGTGTACAAGAAATTTTTAATGAAGAGATATTCATGGGGTGTAGGGTGAACTGGGGCTATCCTTTTTGTACTCAAGTATTTTACAAAAAATCTGTGTTAACATGGAAGTTTTAAAATATTTTTTTAACCTGCCCAACTTCAACATCAGGTTAAACCTAAACCTCCTCAGAGAACACTGTATTTCTCACATTACTGTTTATTTCCTTCACACAATGTGATTATTTTGTTTGTTAAAAATTTCTGTTGTCTTTCCCATAGGTTAACAAGGCAGGCATATACTGTCTTGCATAGTGCCTTACATATAGAAGGCTCACAATAACTATTTGCCTCCAGAAAGACTGAAGGGATGTGGTAAATTTCTACACATCAATGAGTAACATGAGAAGGCAGATACCCTGTTCCTGTTAAAGCTAGGAGATCAGTGGATCTTTACCCTTAGCAATGGAAGAGCCAGCAGGGGGGATTGGTAAGTATTTACTTAATGAATGAATAAAGCAGGAACAGGAACCCTAATATACAGGAACCAGGAATATGATACACAGATTACTCATAACTTTATGAGTAATGGAGATGGAGGCATAAACATTCTGAGTTCAGGGCTTCCTAACCCACAGGCACGGTTGACTAATAGGGGAAGCTAGAACTAAGGCAACATGCACAAAAAAATCCGTAGTAAACCAGGGAGTGCCGGTCCTGAAGTTGGCACGAGTGGGGCAGAATGTCAGCTCCGCCACAGCAGCAACACTGAAGCGGAGAGAGGACGCACCAGGACCCCGGGGTGGGAGCCAGGGGTCCAAGGGAAAAAGTAAGACTCTAGGAGCTGTGGAGATTCTGTAGAAACACAAGCTGTGTTCAAAAGAACAGGGCAAAGTAAACAGCTAAGGAGAGGAGCAAAAAAGGTGGTCAGGAAGTAGAACGCTACCTTTCCACCCAAGACTTCAACCACCTGACCAAAAACAATCGGCACGAAATAAGCGCGTCATGGAACCGCGCCGGAATCACAGTTGCCGGAAAAGAAAGGTCTTGAAGGTGGGACCACCTTTCAGTTCTGGCGGAAGTAAAGAGAGAGATTGACCAGGCCGGAAAGTTATCTTACTAAATAGAAGCTTAGAAGTATCTAACATAAATTCATTGTCCCTATGTCTCCGTTTCGCTCTTACCTTTCCTACATGCGTCGTAATTGGATGTTGCCCCAACAAAAGATGGCCGCACAGCCGAAGGACCTACCATAGAGACCGAGGCCTAGAGAAGCCCGCGCGCGCGTTCTGTGGACTGTGACGCAGGTCCTGTTACCCAGGCTCGGCCGGGGAGGTTAGGGGCGGGGCCCGCGACGGCCAATTCCCGCGACTGCGAGAAGGTGATGGCGGAGGAGAGGCTCCGCGTGGTTCGCTGTGGTGGAAGCGAGCTGAATTTCAGGAGAGCGGTGTTCTCAGCGGATTCTAAGTATGGGACCACCACGTACTACGGCCGGGCTGTCGGCGGGGCTGAGAGGCGTGAGTCCTCGCGCGTCGAGACTCGGCACCCGCGGATCTGGGCCGGGGCAGGGGCGCGCGAGAAGAGACCCCCGGGCACGAGGGAGAGGGCTGGTGCCGACGTGCTGTGTAGGAATGAGAAATCATCCCTTAGTGCAGTGGCACCGCAGGCTGGACGCGTTTCCCGTCCCCGGACAGTTTACCTGCGAGTAGACTGAGAGGCCCGGGGCCCACGTGTCTAACATGCTCGGAATTGGGGCGGCTGGAAAATGGTCCAGACCCTGATGTATGTGTGCGCCACCGAAGTTGCAGTGACACCCCCGGGGGTATCCCTTTTGGACAGAATCTTGACCTGGATTACCTAACGTTTAAAGATTCTTCTTGATCCTACCCAGGCAAAGAAGGCGTTTTGGCAACGTTTTTGGAACTTTGCGTGAAAACCGATGTTAGGTTCTGTGTAAGCCCTGATCCCTTCTCTCAGTTGTGCGCTATCGCTAGAAACCAAACCACTCCCAGTTCAAAACCTGGTTTCTACCGTTGTGCACATTGTGGAAAGAGAAGCCTTTCAAATCACTTAAGGATAGAGTGACACTTGGAAGAACTAAACTATTTCTTTCTGTCTTAGAAGAGTAGAGATAGTATCCTATGAAAGTTGTATCCCCCACAATATCTTGATTATAGGTGTATGGCAGATAGTTGTTGAATGCATGCAGGACTGAAGGGGCTTTCATAAATTGCCTTAAAGATAAAAAAAACTTTCTTTAATCCTTTGTACATTAAAGAGGGCTTTGTTACTATTCATCTTATGAATCAGGAAGAAACTGAGGCTTCAAAAGATTGCCAAGGTTCTGCCACTTTGGACTTTTATCTAGAAATCCAATTTCTTCTTCCAGTGTACTGTTCTAACACCTTATTCATTATATTGCGATCCATTGTATTTTATTTGATAAGTCCAACAATTCATTTTTAAGTCTTTGTCAGCTATGTATTTATTATTTATGACAGAAATTAAGATAATTCCAATATTGATCCACCCTTCAATAGCTTAGTCGAGAGAGGAAAAGAAAAAAGCTCAGTAATACATGTTTTATATTGTGGTACTTGGGGAGCTCATAAGAAGGAGAGAGTACTTAAAACTGGTCAGGATGGAGAAGGTTGCTGAGGAAGTGACATTTAAGTTAGGCTCAGCTAGGTGGATGTATTTTGACTAGGTGATAATGGATGGAAGGCATTCCAAAGAGTAGGAGCCCATTTATATTGAACAGATTGTAATACAGTTATAGTATGAATGGTATTTGAAGAGAGCTAGTGGGAAATGAGGTTGGAAAGAGAACAAGGAGCCAGTTCTTGGTTGTTGTTTGGTCCAAAGAGAGTATATTTTCTTATTCTTTAGATGAGGGTACACATGATTATATTCAAAGATTCATCTGAAAACTATGTATAAAACTATATAGCATGTGTTGGAGAGCAGAGATTAGAGATGGTTAGGCTAGCATACTAAGGTACAGTGATGGTATAGAAGAGAGAGTTACAAAGTGAAATTTCCCTTCATTATCAAGATCTTGCAAGACTAATGGGAATTTGCCGCACCGATGATATTGGAGGACATTCAGGCAAAGTGAGCCGTTTGAAATTTGGGGGTCGGGGGTGGGTAGTGCCGTGTGCGTAAGGTCAGTGTAGTTGCACCATAAGGTGTACGTAAGTGGTGGGAGAAGAGTCTGTGTGAGTAGAGACCAAGGCTTAGAAGGCTGATACAGGCATCACAGCAAAAAATTACTTTGGTCTGAACTGAGATACTATTGAAGATGAAGAGAAAAGACAGTTTCGGAGTAATTTAGCAATTAGGATTAACTAACAAGAGATGTTGAGTTCATTTTGGGGCCTGTTGCGTACGTGCTCAAGAAGAAGGTAGAAATTCAGTACAGAAGTTTGGGGAACTTGGTGAAGATTTAAAGATATTTTATGTGTGTCTGTCATCTATATAGAAGCTAGTACTTAAAACCAGTTTTCTAGCAAATTAACAGGGTTATAACAAATTCATCAAGGATTTGAATATTATCTCAAAGGTACTACAAGGGGAGGACTGGCTTATACCAAGAGGAATAGGGTAATTTTTTTATTTTGCCTTAACAGACTTATCAAGAAAGCTGAAATAGTTAATATAACAACAGAATTGTGGAACTTTGGTAGCTTTCTCTTGGTCAGTAGGTCTTCTTGAAATTAGGACAAAAACTTTTCTGCCTACCTGAGTGGAATGTTATGAGAGACAAGTGGGGAGGTGGGTGCACACAGAAGTGGCTGGCATTCCTTACCAGACATGTTTGCATCATGTCATGTTGCCTACCAGTTACATTGTGCTGTGCATTATAGCATTACGTTGCTAGGGTATAGAAGACTAAAACAATGGTCATTGTTGCCTTTTACACCCCTCAAGTCTCACAAAGCTGCTGTCCTGACTAAATCCTCTTCTTTATGGATCATTCTTGTGCTCCTGTTGTAGTAATTTTCCTAAGTGTTATTGTCACATTACCCTCACCCTTATTCACTTTTAATAATGTAGAAGCCTCTGCTATATGGAAGAAAGCCAGAAAGCCAGAAAGATAAAAGCAAAACCAGCATTTCAGTGACACAAAAAGGAACTGTCACAAAGTCTTTGTACTGGGCTATCTATACAAGAGACCTCACTGATTAGAGAGAACCTTTGACTTAGCATTTGAGAGCTGGTGTCCCCAGTAAACCATGGGAGTTGGAGGACATGGACAGAACCACTGAAGAGTAATGGTGTCTAGTGAATATATAGCATACAATTCTGAATATATAGTTCTTGAAACAATTGTTTTGAAAGGAACCTCTGTTGAAAGTTAAAATATTTGCACAGACAATAAAAAGATTATAGATAGTACATGAAACTTATTTTTCTCTCTTCTTTTCAGATACATCTTCTGTGTTTCTGGAGACTTTGTTAAAGTTCATAGCACAGTGACAGAAGAATGTGTACACATATTGCAAGGGCACAGAAATCTGGTGACTGGAATCCAACTCAACCCCAACAATCATCTTCAGGTGTCAAGTGATACATATTGAATATTTTAATATTGGCTTTGTTGTTGCCAGAAAATTATGAATTAAATTTGGCTGAGAAACTTTCTAGGTTATAATCAGGAAAGTATAGGTATCCCCTGCTTTTAAAAGTTCGCATTATGCCACTTTGCTTGTACAAAAGATCCATGTTAGTACCTGTTTTCACTAACAGAAATTCGAGGATGATATCTACTTTTATGAAAAAAGACGAAAAGCAGAAAGAGCATTCAGTGTTTGTTTTGCAACCAGGCTTTGCTTTACAGAGACAATACACACCCAAAGCAGACAGCAGCACCACCAAGCTCCTTCCCCAGGAACTTCATTCAGCATCTCAGCATCCTGTAGCCATAGCTTTGAACTGTGTTGTGCATGTCTGTGCTTTATCTTGATTTATTTTAACCAGATGTGTCCTAAGTATCAGGAAAGTCTGAGAGACATTAGTTTTTGGGTCTTGGAATGCTCAAAACTCTTTATAAATTACAGTGATAACTGATATTTGATAAATTTGATAAGTGGTAATTGATAATTGATTCTTTGTGTTATGCCATTTTGGCTTATGAAAGGGTTTTATAGGAACACTCTACTTTTGCATAGTGAAGGAAACCTGTATGTTGATTTTCTGACTCAGTATCTTCCTCTTAGTTATTAAAATAGGGTCACAGCCTAGAATCACATCACCCATGCTATATTCTGTGACCCATTTGTTCCACAGGATGCTAATAGGTATGTTACTTGTAAGAAGAGATTCTTGGTTGTATGAGTTTCTGAAATTTAGTGTTAGGCAAAGTTAAATGAATTTTAATTGTAGGTCTTTTCAGGGTCCTTTATATGCAGTGTAAATATCAAAATGGGTATATAGTATTTGGTGTTTCTCAAACTTCTATACCCTTGGGCTCTTTGGTTTCTGGAACACATTTTTGAAAATGTTCATAGAGAAGTATTGATTTTGTAGATTTATTCCTTCACAGATGAGGCTTTCATGTTCAGTCAGATGTTACCTAATTTTAAGGCCAGTGTCCAGATAAGAAGAAGTATCAACCAGCTAATTTGAGAACAACCTTGGGAATCTAGCCTGGAACTCACCACTCTCTGGATTTCACTCTACAGAGCAGCTCTTGCTTCTCAGAATTCAAAAATAATAAAATGTTACTTAATTCTGTTCTTAACTTTCAGCAGCTACTAAAGAGTTATCTCAAAAACATTTAATTCTTGCTGTAGTTTTTGATCAAGTTCCATATCTCTGGATTAGTCATATCCAGTGGGGAAGTTGTTGCTTGATATAAAAATGGATTTGCATTGCCATTCACTGTGCTAAAACAAAAGAAGTAGGGCATAAAGTTACAGTGATGCTTTCTTTTCTTAAAAATCAAAATTAAGTAATTTTTTTGCAGGGTCCAAGCACACATTTTCCTTGCTGTCCTCTTAAGGGTTTGATAAAACAGCTTATGTGTAGCATTTGAATGTTTTTCATAGCAAACGTATCCATTAAAATTGGAATTTGTTAAGTCTATATTGTTTTATAGCAAACAAAAACCACATATGCACTGCATAAAAGATGTATTTAATGTAAATGAAGTTACTAATAAAATTGGAAGGAGGGCAGTTTTATCAACAGGTTTGGTTGGAATTGCAACAGGTGGGAATTGCAGAGATTCTCTGAGCTTTAGTCACAACATTTGTGTTTTGACATTTGTGTGTTCTCACAACCATCGTTTTGACATTGATTATATGTTTGCCTTGTTATAGTTTACTAATCCATGTTGTAATTCTTATGTTACATATAGCAATTGTGATGTATATTTTCTACTTGATACAATGCTTTTGCTTGGACACTTTCTTATTCCGTCATTTTTTATTTCTATTCTCTGATTCCATGTCCTTTTTGGCAGAAATCTTAAAGTGCTACTTTTTCAAGAAACTTAAAATTCTCTATAAAACATTATAATCAGAGTGTTTTCACAGTAACAGTAACAAAAAAATCCTGCCCATCCTTAGTAAAACTAAGTCCATGCTGGGACAAAAATAAAAATACATTACTAAGGCCTTGTGGTGCTACCAAAGTGTGTTCCACAGACCAGTCCACAAACTTTGGTTGTCAGTCAACAATGACATAAGTATAGAAATCGAGTGTCCCACAACTTTAGAGCACTAAGACATTGCAACAACATCTAAGTGCATAACAACTTTATTCTATTTTGTGAAGTATTGGTCCTTGATGAGTTGGAAATTTTTTGTAAAAAAAACGACATTTTCGGATCATTTGAGAAGCACTCCTTTAATACCCATGTAACATGAAAGCGGTTCTGTCAATAAAAGGACTGAGCTCTGGGAGAAACAGCATTAAGATCGTAAGTGCTTTTCACAACTCAGTACCTTACCATCTCCCTCTTGAAGATAGAGGATTAACTTTTTTCTCTTTCATTTAGTGAAAACTTGAAACTGATAGCTCTGCTTCCTCCAAAGAGCTGTGATAAGATTGTCTATTTTGCAAAACCAATATAAGTAAATGATTCCACGTGTTTAAGGTTTATAATGAAGTAATTAACAGAAAATGCCTTCTGTATCAGCACTTAATTATTCATTTCATATCTTAATGGAATTCTGTTTTTTTAATAAATTTTGTACTCTTACCCCTTTAGCTGTATTCTTGTTCCTTTGATGGCACAATTAAACTGTGGGACTATATAGATGGCATTTTGATAAAGGTATGTAGATTGGTCCTCCGTTTTCATTATGTGAAAGGAATGGCAACATAATTTAATGACATATTGTTTCCTTCTATAAGGCCTAATCTCAGGTGGCCTTCCTAATCAAGTGGTGAAAAATCACATACCATAAAAGGCAGATTTGTCTATTTGAAAATTTTAAACTTCTAACAAAAAGATGAGTGGTAAAACTAGAAGAAAATATTTATAAGAGATATTGTATCCCTATACATAAAAAAAATGATCAAAATCATTAAGGAAAAACTAATCACCCAGTAGAAAAAATTAGCCTAGAGTAGGAATATATAAGTCACAGAAAAAGGAATAATAAATAGCCGGTGAACATGAAGAGATGCTGAACCTCATTGAAAAGTAAATAAATGTGAATTAAAACAAATGCCACAGCATTTGTCCATATCAACTTAGCCAACTTGAAGACTGAAAAAAATCTGGTGATAAGTGTAGAGAAAGATACCTTTGTACATTATCAATTACAGGAAAGCTGGAAATGAAAAAATAACGTTTGCTCCAGCAATCCCTTTAGGAATCTCTTGTTAAAGTTACGTCATGTATATATAGTCCTTACAGCCTTGTCTCAATAGAAAAAAACTGAGTAACTTTGATGTCAGTTAAAATTTAGTATTCATTCAATAGAATACTATAAACCATTAAAAAGAAACTTAACTGGAAAGGTTATTCAAAATATAGGTATTGAGTGTCTTCTGTAGGCCAGGTACTCATCTGATTTGGGGAATACAGCTGAGAGCCAAATGGATTAAAAAATCCCTGTCCTTTATGGAATTTATATTCTAATGGAGGCAGGAATGAAGACAGACAGTAAACAATTGTGGTGCTTTTTATCTTTCAGACTTTCATAGTTGGACATAAACTTCATGCCCTCTTTACTCTTGCCCATGCTAAGGATTCTGTGTTTGTTATAATAAATAAAGGAAAACCAGGTATAGTATAATTGTTTTATGCAGCATTGAGTAGTTCTTTACATTTCACAGTGTCTCAAATTTCATGTTTTGGTTTGACTCTAAAGTTAAAAGTTTTTGGAGTTGGCATTTTAATTACTCTCATTGTTATTGCAGTCATTTAGGGGAGGCTTTGCATCAGTTCTGAACTGTGCAATAAGGGATTGATTACTTTATATGTGGTTTAAATAATGTACCTCAGAGCTCATTATCATTGGAACATCATTCTATCAAAATTGCCATGTTTCTGAATATTTTAGGAATTCCTGGCATATCTTCAGTGGTTATAAATAATTGCCCTTTAGTAGAGAATTTGATACATCAGAACATTGACGTGAAGGATCTACCCAAAGAATTTTTCTAATATCAGAATTCAAGAGACACCTTCTGGTGTCCTCTATAAAGTACAATTATATTCAGAATTCAAAGTTCAAAGCAGCTTTAGAATGATAACTGAGCAGTCAGACTGGCTCATGGCTCATTAGCTAAGTGAATCCTCCCATGGTGTTTTGTGGCGGGTTTTTTTGGCTTAAACAAATTTGTTTATTATATATTGTGACATCTAAGTAACCAGAGAGTAGTCAAAGCTGTGAAAATCGGTTTGTTAACTAAAACTTGCTTGGTGTAAGTTTTAGCTAAATGGGCAATATTTTATCTACCAAAAGCATGACATGAAAGAATAAAAGTATTTGTTTAGTTTTCTTGAGTGGCCCATTAACCATCTGTAAAAGATATAACAAAAAATGTTCTGGAAATGGCAACATTCTTAAAATAATTAAGTCACTTTCCCAGATGAACACCCTAGATAACACTCCAGTATTTAAGTTCTGTTTTGTATATAAATATGCAGATTCTTATTGTCCGTCCACATACTTACCAAATTCAGATTCCTAATCTCTCTGACTGACAGTTGATTGACTAGGTCTGAGATTTAATCTAGAATCTGCATCTTTATATCTCCCCAGGTGACTGCTCATCATTCACATTCGGTGGCCAGTCTCTATACTCACCCCATGATTCCTCAGTTGGAAGCATAGTTGCCAATAGCTATAGCAAAACTTTCTATCCTCATCAGTGAGACCAGTGACTATTCACACAGACTGTGCATTAGAATCACTCCAGGGAACTTAAAAAAGTAAGCTTTTCTGTAGTGGGGCCTAATTATTTACTTAGATATTCCCTATATGAGTCTAATGTGCAAGCCAGCATAGAAAACTACTCATCTAAGTAAAGATCGTGGCATTAGCCTTTTGGAGTTAACCGTGGAAACTTCCAAAGCTATAATCTAATATGATTCTATTAATGGTAGAATCTAGTGTTACTTTCCAGAACTTGGCACATCACGAGCACTCAGGATGTGAAAATCTAGGTATTACATAGAAGTATGTATCAGGCTTGAAAAGATTCCCTGTGACTGACATCTCATAAAATAAATACATATCTTCCTTCATTTGCTTCATCTTTGTGCCACAGCCCAAAACCAAAGTCTCTGATAAAAAATTGCATAAATCATAATGCTTCATCTTTGTGCCACAGCCCAAAACCAAAGTCTCTGATAAAAAATTGCATAAATCATACTGAAATACACTTCTCTGGTTATAAACAAATTAATCTCTTATTTCCACATTATCTGTTACGGTGCCATTTTTTGATTATAGTAATTTATACATTTCAGCAGATAATTAAAAACCTACCATATGCCAGATGCTATTCTGGTTATAAGATACAAAACAGACAATCCCAACATTATTCAGACAAGGTCAGTCATAAAATAAGATGAAAGGTTTTCTAGAGAAGAATACTGCAAGGGCCAGAAATAGGCAAAATCAGGGGAATATTTATAAAGTAAGTGGTCAGGGAATGTTCTGAGGAAGAAGCAGCTGTCCAACTGTGTTGGAGAAGCAATACAGAGCATTCTTTTCTATATTATCTTGGTATCGAAATGAATTCTAGGGTACTAACAGTTTCATGTAAGTAAATGTACACCTTCACTTTAGAGGAATTTTCTATTAATATAACTTTCTTTGGCTAGATATATTTCAGCTGGTATCAGTGAAACTGCGAAAATCTTCAAGCCAGGAAGTAGAAGCTAAGGAGCTCTCCGTTGTTCTGGATCACATAAACCAGTCACCCAAATGCATTGCCTTTGGGAATGAGGTAAAATTGGTTTTGTTAGTTTTGTATGTAAAATGTCTTTCCTGCAGTCTTTCCTCTGAGCATTTTATGTTACTGTGATTTCATAGTGCTTTGAGTTTTAATATTTTTGTTGGTAACTAAGAACTCTGTTTCATTTTGGTAGCATGTATTTATGGTAAAAGTTTTCTAAAGCCATTGAAATTTTGTATATACTGTCTTACTGCTCTTGTAAACCATCTAATTGTTCCACAAATATTAATGTTTTGGCATTTATAGTGTGTTTCTTAGTCTGTCCCATTTAAAAGCTATTCACATCCTTTCATTTCAGACTATATGTGGTTAGAAAAATATGAACTCCTTGTCTATAATTAATATGCCCATTATAGAAAATTTGAAAATTTAATCTCTTCAGTGATAATACCTGAGGAATCTTTTTCAAGGCTTTTTCCAAACTATGTGTAAAATAACTTTTCCCAAACTGATTAGTGTCTGAAGGCTACTTACCTTTTTTTTCTCCACTTAACATTGCAGCATGAATGTATTATTAAATGTTCATCAGAAATAATATGTGTGTATGTTCAAACCATGATTTAATTAGGTGTTCCCTACCAATAATCACTATTATTTTAAAATCAACTGCCACCAAAAGCCCTTAGACATTATTGTGGGGCATGTTTCTTTTAGTCTTAAGTTTTTTAGATTATCTTGGCTTTGTTCTGAAAAGGGTTACTTAGAGTAGAGAAGACTCTTTAACATTATCAACATCATTAATCTTCAGCATCATACTCACTGGTTAAATAAATTAAAACCTCAGTAAGATATCACTTCGCATCTGCTAGAACAGTTAAAATTACAAAGATTACAATACCAGGTGTTGGCAAGATATGCAGCAAAGTTAACATATACCTTTACCATGACCCACCAATTCCACTCCTAGGTAGAGAAATGAGACAGGACCATAAAATGACATGTAAGAATGATTAATATTTGTAATAGCTCCAAAGAGGAAAAAACCCAAATGTTCACCAATAAAAGAATAGTTTGTGATATACATTCATTCACTGGAATTCAGCTTGATGATAAAAAGGAACTAATGATATACCTAAGAGCATGAGTGAGTCTCAGAAAGGTGATGTTGAGATAAAGAGCGCAAAAACAAAAAAGGATATACCATATACCTGCTGTTCGAATGGCATTCTAGAACAAGCAGAGAAGTAAACTGTGGTGATAGAAATCAGTAGTTGCTGGCAGGGGTGGGAGCATTGAGTCATGACTGGAAAGTGGAAAAAGGGAACATTACTGAGGTGAAGAAAACGTTCTGTATCTTGACTGTGGTCGTGGTTACACGGATGATATACACATACATCATGGATATACACACGTCAAACATGGCATTTTGTTGTAAGTTATGCCTTAATGGAAAAAATTTAAATCATTGTACTTAAAGCTAGGCAGTCTAGTTTTAGGATCTAGGACCCCAAGTTCATCTTCTAATTGTCTGTGGTCATTTTAGAAATAGAATCATCGTTTCCAAAGCTAAACAGTATCATTCTAAATTAATTTACTCTTGAAAAAGAAAGCCTATTACTGCATTAACATTTATGGTGAGACTATTTCTTAAAGAGTATGAACTATTTCTTCTCTGAAATATTACCTTCTCTGAAATAACAGGGAGAATATGTTGCTGCAGTACGGGACTTTTACTTGTCTGTTTATTTTTTCAAAAAGAAAACAACATCAAGGTAAGATTTCCTTTTTGATAAGTTTTATTAAGAGTTTGTTATAATTTAATTTTTCCTCACATTAACCAGTTGTCTCAGATATAACTTCTTAGGCCTATTCATGCCACCAGGTACAGAGGTAGTTAGTTTCATAGTGGGTAGGGTTGAAGGAATCCTTAGTCTCAAAAAGCTAGGATACTTTGTCCACCCAAAACCCTTTGTACACTTAGACTCTGGTATGCATATTTGTTGTCAAAACTGAATGTAGTTTGCAGAGGTTTCCCCAGGTAATCCTCATTGCCAATTTTTGGCTACATGCTTTAGGATACCTGGGTTTAAAATGAGTCACATTTAGCCATTTGAACCACACTACACCTCAAATTAATATTTATTTTAAAAGGAGATAATATCTACCTAATAGAGTTGTAAGGATGAATAAAATAACATACTTAATGATACTAGTGCTAAGCATAAGTAGTCATTCTTCAAGTGACACGTCACTGTTCCCTTTTACTCTGCCAAGAATAACATTTGATTTTCTTTGCAATATGAAATAAGACACATTTGGACACATTAGCCAGTTGTCTCAGATATAACTTCTTAGGTTTATTCATACCTCATGCTACAACTTAGCTTCAACAAGAAATTTGAACAAACTTTGCCCAGGCAAAAAGCCACTAAAAGGATTGCTGTTTACTTCTATATCAGTGGCTTCTGTAGATAAGTTATTTTTGTAGAACTTAGTCAGCATGAAGTTTATATTGTATACTAATAAATATTTATAAAACAAAATTCTTAATCACAATTGTTTTTAATTGTGCATATATATTCCATGAATTATGAGAGCTATCTGGTTTTGGTTGGCTAGTGTGGGAACTCACTTTTACTTAATGGCATCACCACTTACCAAGAGATTTTAATAATAGAGGAAAATGTTTTTCTTCTAGGTTTACTTTATCATCATCAAGAAATAAAAAACATGCTAAGAACAATTTTACATGTGTAGCATGTCACCCAAAGGAAGACTGCATAGCCACTGGTCACAAGGATGGCAAAATTCGTCTTTGGTCAGTTACACATGAAGAGCGTGATGATCATGTGTACACTATTTTGTATTAGCTATCTCTGGGTCCAGGAAAAAGACTAATACTGAAAAGTCAGTGCTGATAATAGAGATTAGGCTTTGCTGACACCCTCCCTTTCTTGCAGTGTGCTATTCACTGTATAGACGTGCTATTTTAGGGTGTTTAACCTTGGGCTTGTAGAAAGTGAAACATTCCATTTTGCCTATAATTGTTTTATTGAAGGGAACTTTGTCAGCCTTTGAGTAAACAGGGTAGTGTGACAATAGTGACTATCTAACTGCTAGGATATCATGATGGCCTATTGTTTGTAGAAATAACTGGATAGGAGTAGGAAATGTACTTTTTGTGCATTAAGATGCTAAGCATGCCATCATTTTCCTAACTATGCTTTTGGTCAAATTACGGTTTTCTCCAATAGGAGGAATTTTGATGATGATAAGAAATACACATACACATGTTTACATTGGCACCATGATATGGTTATGGATTTGGCTTTTTCAGTGACAGGTGAGTGCAGGTGTAATAATTAAAATTGAAACATGAGGTATGTGAATGAAGTTTGTGTTTTGTGTGCGGCTCAGTGCATTTTGGCATGCTCATGTAACTGTCACATAGATCAAGATACCAAACATTCTCACTTTTTTTCCCGTTCATTAATTAATTTCATTGATCCTCCTACCCTCCCTCTCCTATGACAACCACCAGTCCCTTCTGTGTCTGTATGTTTCCTTTTTTTCATTTGTTTGTTTTATAAATTCCACTGATAGATGAAGTCATATGGTATTTGTCTTTATCTGTTTGACTGACCTCACTAGCATAACACCCTTTAAGCCCATCCATATTGTTGATTCCATTTTTTATGGCTGAGTAATATTTCTCTGTGTTTGTGTGCATTTACCCTATCTCCTTATATTTTTTATTCATTCATCTATCAGTGGACATTTACATCACCTCTTTATCTTGATTATTGCAAATAATGCAGCAAAAAGCACAGGAGTCCATATATCTTTTTAAATTACTGGTTTTGTTTCCTTTGGGTAATTCCCAAAAGTGGAATTTCTGAGTCTATATGGACTTTCTGTTTTGTTTTTGGGGTATTTTTTTTTTTTTTGAGAAACCTCCATTCTGCTTCTGTATTGGCCAAAATACTTTCCCACCAACAGTGTACTAGAGTTCTCCTCTCTCCACATCCTCGCCCACACTCTTGTTATTTCATGTCCTGTTCATACTAATGTAGTGATATTTCATTGTAGTTTTGATTTGCCTTTGTCTGATCAGTGATGTTGAGCATCTTTTCATGTGTCTGTTGGCTATCTACATGTTATTTGGAAAAATGTCTATTCAGTTCCTCTGCCCATTTTTTAATTGGCTAATTTGGGTTTTCTTGGTATTCATTTGATATGTATTCTTTATATATTTGGGATATTAACCCTTTATTAGATGTATCATTTGCAAATAAATTCTTGCATAAAGTAGGTTGCATTTTCATTTGTTGGTGGTTTCCTTTGTTGTGCAGAAGCTTTTTTAGTTTGATATAGTCCCACTTCTGTATTTTTGCTTTTGTTTCCCTTGCCTGACAAGACATCCAGAAAAAAATTAGTAATGTCAGTGCGAATTCATTGTCTGTGTTTTCTTCTAGGAGTTTTATAGTATTGGGTCTTGTATTTAGGTCTTTAATCCATTTTTAGTTTATTTTTGTGTATGGCATAAGACAGTGATTTAGTTTCTTTCTTTTGCATGTAGCTGTCCATTTTTCCCAGCACCATTTATTAAAGAGACTGTCTTTTTCCCCATTGTATATTCTTGCCTCCTTTGTCATGTGTAGGCATGGGCTTATTTCTGGGCTATCCTGTTCCATTGGTCTGTGTATCTGTTCTTGTGCCAGTACCGTACTCTTGATTACTGGTAACTTTGTAGTATGGTTTGAAGTCAAGGAGCATAATATCCCTAGCTTTGCTCTTCCTCAAGATTGCTTTGGCTTTTCTGGGTCTTATGGAGTTTAACACAAATTTTAGGATTATTTTCTCTAGTTCAGTGAAAAATGCCATTGGTATTTTGATACTTCAATAGGAATTGTATTGACTGTTGACTGTTTTGGGCAGTATGGCCATTTTAACAATATTCTATCCATGAGCAATGAATAGCTTTCCATTTATGTGTGTCTTCTTCAGTTTCTTTCATCAGTGTCTTACAGTTTTCAGAGTATAGGTCTTTCACGTCTTTGGTTATTTTTATTCCTAGGTATTTTATTCATTTTAATACTATTGTAAATAAGATTGATTTCTTAATTTCTCTGTATTTATATATAGGAATTCAAAAGATCTATACATATATATGTTTTATATCCTGCAACTTTACTGAATCCATTTATTCTAATAGTTTTTTGGTGGAGCCTTTAGGGTTTTCTGTACATGTTGTTATATCATCTGCACATAGTCACAATTTTAGTACTTCCTCATGAATTTAGGTGCCTTTTATTTCTTCTTCTTCCCTGACTGCTATGGCTAGGACTTCCAAGTACTATGTTTATAAAAGTGGTGAGAGTGGGCATCCTTGTATTGGTCCTGATCCTATTCCCTCTTTACTCGCTTTGTTGAGAGTTTCTTTCATGAATGGATGCTGGATTTTAGCAAATGCTTTTTCAGCATTTATTGAGATGACCACATGGTTTTTATCCTTCATCTTGTTAATGTGGTGTATCACATTGATTAATTTGCAGATACTGAACCATCCTTGCTCGCATACCTAGAATAAATCCTACTTGGTTGTGATGAATGATCCTTTTAATGTATTTCTTTAATTTGGTTTGCTAAATAAGGATTTTTGCACCTATGTTCATCAGATATATTGATTTATGCTTTTCTCTTTTTGTAGGGTCTTTGGTTTTGGTACTAAGGTGATGATGGCTCATAGAATTTGGAAGCTTTCTTTCCTCTTAAGGTTTTTGAAATAATTTTAGAAGGATAGGTATTAACTCCTCTTTAAGTGTTTGGTAGAATTCTGTGAAACCATGAGGCACTGGACTTTTGTTTGTTGGGAGATTTTTTATTACTTCTTTAATTTCATTAGTAATAATTATTCTGTTCAGATTTTTTATTTCTTCCTGGTTCAGTCTTGGGAGATTAGATGTTTCCAGGAATTTATCCATTTCTTCTAGGTTGTCCAATTTGTTAGCATGTAATTTCTCCTAGAATTGTCTTATAATTGGATTTCTGTGGTATCAGTTATAACTTCTCTCTCATTTCTGAGTTTGAGTCCTCTCTTTTTTTCTTGATAAGCCTAGCTAAAAGTTTGTCACTTTTATCTTTTCAAAAGAACCAGTTCTTAGTTTCATTGATCTTTTGTGTTGTTTTTTTCAGTCTCTATATAATTTATTTGTGCTCTGATATCATTTCCTTCTACTAACTTTGGGCTTTGTTTATGCCTCTTTTTTTTCTAGTTCCTTTAGGCGTAGGGTTAGAATGCTCAAGATTTTTCTTGTTTCCTGTTATAGGCCTGTATCATTAAAAACTTCCCTCTTAGAACTGCCTTTGCTGCTGCATCCTGAAGATTTTGAACCGTTTTTGTTTTCATTATGCTCCAAGTATTTTTTGATTTCCTTCCTGATTTCCGAATTGACCCATTGGTTGTTCAGTAGTGTGTGTTTAGCCTCCATGTGTTCATGTTTTCCCCAGTCAGTTTTTCCCTTGTAACTGACTCACAGTTTCACACTGTTGTGGTTGGAAAAGATGCTTGGTGTGATTTCAGTCTTCTTGAATTCACTGATAGTTGCTTTGTGGTCTAATGTGATCGGCCCTGGAGAATGTTCCATGTGCAGTTGAAAAGAATGTATTCTGCTGTTTTGCATGTAATGTTCTATGTATATTTATGAAGTCCATTTGGTCTAATGTGTCATCTGAAGCCATTGTTTCTTGATTGATTTTGTATCTGGATGATCTATCCATTGATATAAGTGGGATGTTAATGTTGATCTTGTGAAACAAATTGGAAAGTGTTCATTCTTCTTTGTTACCTGGGAAACTGTGAATTGGTTTATTTTTTTTCCGTAAATGTTTGGAAATATCCACCAGTGAAGCCATCTGAGCCTAGAGGATGTTTATTTTGTTCAGTTTTTCTAGTTTATAGTAGAAGAGTTGGTCAGCAAACACACTAGTCAGACACTGTTGGAAAGTAAAATACCTAAACCAGTGATCTTAAAATCTTTTGTCTTAACAGTATTTTTACAAATATGAAGACACTTGTTTGCATATTTTAAAAAAAGTTTATTTTTTTAAGCTAGTAGGAAAAATTTTAATATTACATTTTTCTATTTTTTTTTTCCCTCAAAACTGTCCTTTTCATATTTATGGATGGATGAGAAGGCACCAGTCTGTTGAGTGGTGGTCGTGAGTCTGTCCTTGTAGAGTGGCGTGATGCAACAGAGAAAAATAAGGAGTTCCTCCCCCGTTTAGGAGCTACTATTGAACACATCTCAGTGTCGCCAGCAGGGGATCTGTTCTGTACTTCTCACTCTGATAATAGTAAGTCTAAATCTGCTATTGTAAGGAAATAAAATTTGTGTGATGCCTTGATTAACCTCTGTAGGGAATGGAAGGGACCTAAGACTACTCAAGTGTAGCATAAGACTTAGTGAGCATTTTTTATTCCATTCCTCCTCTTTTCTCTACCCCTTTCTGCCCCTACATGTCACCAGAATCCAATGTTTTCAGAATTGTTTTTATGAAAATGTAGGGCTAAGTGTATTTGATTATTCTTATGCCACTTATATTTCAAAACCTTTTTATGTGGGATGATGTGGGGAAGTAAAGTGAAGGTTTGAAGTGAGCATTTGTGCTTTCCTTAATATAATGGCATTTTCGAAAGAGCACTGGGAGAGTCTCCCTTAATACAGCCATTATCTCTGCGTGGGAGTCCGTGGATTCTGAGAGAGAGGGGAGCAATCTTGTATTTCTCAAACTTTTTGCTTATCCTGTTACTGTTCACTAGATGTAGATCCTATAGCCCGTTGCCTTCTTTCCTTTCAAAAAAAAGAACATAACTGTGAGCAATCCATTAGTGCAATGAATCATTTCAAAGTCAGCTGTCTCTTTTAGGGTATATAAGGTTCTGAAGTAACACTTAAAATATATTGAAAGGCACTCAATAAAACTTGAGACTCCCCAACTGACAGTCCCTTATCCCCATCCCTAGTTTTTCAGCTGAATCACAAAATATATTCCTGATTTTCCAGTAACCAGTAACTTACTCACTTGCTTTGTATCCTGGTGTATTTCAGAATTATATAAATTCAAGTGATTTTTTTTTGACCTTGAAGTTCTGACCTATTTATGTTTAATTTTTTTTTCTTTTTTTAACCACAGAGATAATAGTTATTCAGCGAAACCTTGAGGCATCTGCAGTAATCCAAGGCCTAGTGAAAGGTACTGCACAACCCAGTGGATTTGAAGTCATGTACATTTTAAAAGTGAATATTTGTCTCATTTCCACTACTGTTTGTCACTTCTTTTGCAGACAGCAATATCTTTACTGGTTTGATGATTGATCCAAGAACTAAGGCTTTGGTTTTGAATGGAAAACCTGGCCATTTGCAGTTTTATTCTCTCCAGCATGATAAGCAGTTATACAATGTAAGATTTTGATCCATTAAATGACATTAAAACTAATGAAAGCTCTTTACAGCACCACTGGGGTCAAGTTACTTATTTAGTAGCTTCTAAAACAAGATTCTCTACCTACATTTACTGGACATAGTAAATATTGTCTGTGGTTACTTAGTTCAGTTGTTTACAGCATAATTCTAATGAAGTCATGGCTGAAGAGTTAAGTTTACGTATAACCCAGTTTCACTCTTGTGCTGGCTCTCTCTTTGTTTTACTTTGTTTCAACCTGCACTCTAATTAGCTGTCAAACCCATCTGTACCTTTTAGTCACAAGGATAGGAAATAAGAATATGAAGGTTGACAATATAAATATGTTTCTGCTTTGTGTTGAAACATGTCATATTTACATAGTGACAATAAAATTTTCAATTCTTCTTATTAAACCTGATAAATGTAATCCAGACATCCTACTTCTTCCTCTGTGTCCCACAGTACCCTTCGTGGATTACAGTCATGGCAGCTGTAACCCTTCGATCTTCTCTCCATTGCCTTAAACCTCTCAAAGTAACGATACTCACTGATCTTTGTACATTTATGCCTGGAAATAATAGGCACATAGCAGGTGTTTAATAAATACATGAGGAATTGGGATAAAAAAGAAACAACCATAGATAAAATGTTGGCTTACTTACAATATTGCTTTTTACTCCCTTCTTAAAAATTGTAGACTTTGTTTTTGCTCTTCTTTTTAGGGAAGTGGAATCTAACCTTGAGATTTTTTTGTGAAACTATTTGTTCATAGATACAAGAGAGGTGCATTACTATAAACTAAAGGTTCTGTTTTATCTTATAAATGGGTCATAGTCCACTAAAATTCAAATGAATCAAGAATACTCACCACTGAATTGGTACTATATAATGTGCTTTCTTTTTTAATGACAACTTTTTTGCCCATAACTAACAATTATTTCATCTTTCCCTTTGATAATCTATTACTATAGAGTCTAGAAGTTGGCTTTGTAGTTAATTACCATTCCTTTAAAGCTTTAGCATTTATTTATGTATTTACATTAATTGTCATTTTGGATTTTTTTAACCCATCAGTTAGATATTATACAGCAAGAATATATCAGTGATTATGGTCTGATCCAAATTGAATTAACAAAGGCTGCATTTGGCTGCTATGGTACCTGGCTTGCAACAGTGGAACAACGTCAAGAAAAGGAAACAGAGCTTGAATTGCAAATGAAACTGTGGATATACAATAAAAAAACACAAGGGTAATACTATATAGCCATTTAATGTCATAGTAGAAAATATTTGACTTTCTATGTCTTCAGTTGTTGGTCTTTGAGGGGTTTCATTTTAATGAGCTTTAGATTTAGACAAATGAGAGGTGTTATAAAGTCTTCAAGCTTTCTGCTCTAAGAACACAGTGATATCTTCCAAGTTACAGTGTCATCTTAGTACATAAATGAGGAAACATGAAAAAGAGACACCCCCAAGGACATAATACCTAATTCCAGGCAAATCCAGGATTAGAATTCAAATGTCTTGGTTCCTTTGCTCTTTTATTAACATACTACTACCTTCTTTGGGAAAATGGTAGTGGTAGGAAGCAGAGATGAGCACAGTGTAGCGTGTGTTTTGATTAGGTAGAGTCTCACTAGTATCTCATACCATGGTTGTAGCCATTTACCAAGTCCTTGCTGTGTGCCAAGCACCAGGATTAGTGCTTTCATACCTGTTGTCTTATTAATCTTCATAGGGACACTCTAAGATAAGCTTGTTTTCCACATTTCACAGGTGAGGAAACAAGCCCAGGGGGATTAAGTAATTATCCCTAGTCACCCCTCTTAGAATCTAGACTTCTTATAAATCACACTATCTTGCCTTGATGTTTTAATATGCAGCAGTTATCTTCATTCACAGCAGTGCCCTGTCAAGCTGGAAACAAGCTCTGAGAGGTAGTTCGGGTGACTATAAATATTAAATATTGACCAGTGCAATGTGAATAGGTAGTTTTCTTTCTGTATTTTCTTTCCATAAGTAGGAACTTTGGCAGCCATTCCATTTTTTGCTTATGCTCACAGTAGTGAAGCATCTGTGTTCTATATAGTTTTCCTGCAGAGTATAGTACAATAGGCTTTCAAGTAGTATTTTGTGAGTGACCCCTATTTTATACTCCTTTGTACAGTAAGTTGACACTGTACATAATCATCTCTATGTCATGGAAGTTACACAAAGATAATGTGTTAGAATTCTTGCTTCCCTTGGCCATTAGAGCGCATTCAGTTGTTTGTCATTCGAGGTGATAATATATCAGTTGCTCTTTCTTAAAGATGCTATTGTAAAATGTACAGTATGTAAGAAATTCTTAAATGTCAATTTATGAGATTTTCCAGATGTAAGAATAAATTTATGGTTTCCTTCCTACTAGGTTTGTTCTTAATACAAAGGTTAACATGCCACATGAAGACCACATCACAGCTGTTTGTTTCTGTAATGCAAGAAAATCTAAAGACCCCACTTTGGTTACAGCTAGTAAAGATGGTCATTTCAAAGTATGGATATTAACAGATGATTCTGATATATACAGTAAGTTCATTAAGTACAGGATATCTAAAGAATATGTAATTTTAAGAATTGATATATTTATCTCATGAATTATGTCCATTCTGAGAGAACATTTTCTATATTATTTAATGCTACAGTATACTGCCTAATTTTAAATAATTTAAGAGCTGACATTTTTACATGTCTCTTTCCCAAAAAACTATATAATATTCTTGTTTAATCATAATGCTGATTATTCCACTTTGAGGATATAGTATAAAGGGTTTTCACAATTAGTTATTTCATTGTACCACTAGGGGGCGGTCAGGGTTTTCAGGAAGGGGCATAAATTTCTAATCAGTCAATGCTTTGTAGCATTTCTAACTAAAGTTTTAGGAATCAGGTTTGTTGTTTTGTTTCTTAATCCCAATTGCATATAACTTCCCTAAGATATTCTCTAATATTTGTACCATTTCTAAACTCTATCCTCTACATTTCCACAGAAAAAGCTGTTGGCTGGACTTGTGACTTTGTAGGTAGTTACCACAAATACCAAGCAACTAACTGTTGTTTCTCTGAAGATGGCTCTTTACTAGCAGTTAGTTTTGAAGAAACAGTTACAATATGGGATTCAGAAACATGGGAACTTAAATGTACATTTTGTCAACGAGCTGGGAAAATTAGGTAAGGAAAATAATTTGGGAGTGTATAGTACTTTTAAAAATTTATTAAGTCCTTTTACATAAACTTCAGTAATAATTTATTTTTTCTCTAAAGGTAGTCTGTGGGCCATTGGGGCCAGCAGCTAACCAAAATGCTAGGAAGCTAAAAATTCTAGGTATATGAGCTGTGTGCTATGATTCACCCATTTCTGAAATCAGGATTAACATTTAATTCTTACAGATTTTTTTCTTTGTAATAAATACTCTTCATGGGTGTGCTACATGATAATAGAAGCCATACATAAGCCTCAGTGGACCCAAACAGTGCTTATCTTGTATGTTTTCCCATAAAAATGATGTCAGGCTCAAAGCTCATTGATTCAAAGAAGGGCAGGGGTAAATAAAGCAGTATCTACACTTGACCTCAGGTAACTGGGCAATAGAGGCACAGTGACAGATGGCTAAGAAATGTTTCTAGTTCCCAACAGGCCTGATTCTGAGTTTACTATGTGAAACTTTCTTCAGAATTCATTTTGCAGGTTTTCCTCCTCTAGGTAAATGAGCATTAAAAAAGGTTTTTTGTTAAATGATTTTACATGCTTCACATATATTTTCTCTATATATGTTAATTATTATACTGCACAGGATATTGGAGGAAAGAATTGGTCATCATACTGCTCTTCTAAAGAAATAAAGTTGCTAAATAAATAAACCTTACCTTTTGTACTCCTTAGCCCCTTTTTCTGCAGTATATCTAAGGACAACAACTTAGGTGTCTTTCTAAATATCTGCACTGCAGAAAACTAATACCGTGCCAAGAGTCCTCAGTTCTCTGAGACTGTGTGTGCTAGAAGGGACTTGCTGACATTCGTGTGGTTTTGATCTAGGCATCTTTGCTTTGGGAGACTGACTTGCTCAAAGTATCTTCTCGGTGCTGCTGAAATTGACTTTCTATGCTGTTGGAATCTGCTCAGCTGTGCATGTAAGATATTTTTTACTGTAAGCAACTAGGCAAAGCACATAGGAAGTGGCCATTAGACTTCATATTTTAGGACTCCTGGGTGATATCTTCATGTGTCTACCCAGAGCATATATAATTTTTCACATGACATATTATACTATTATAATTTGAAACACTAGGCCTATAATAGACTTAAACTATTTATAAACTTCCTAATTGTCAGTAAATCAACTTCTACTGTCCTTACCTTTCTTCACTGTGTGTGGCTGTCTGTTACCCTCCATACTTACTCTCAGTCCTCATAACAGTTTGAGGAGTATTTCTGCTAATCTATAATGCATGTTAACATGCAGTATTCCTGGAAGCTTTCAATTTGATTGTAGCCTGCCACAGTTCTAGCAAATATGGACTTAGTGGCATTTTACTCATTTGAGGATATGTATGGAAGACATGGCAGTTGCTTAGTGATGAGTGTGGTTGGTAACACATTTTTTTATATTCTCGATAGTGACTAGTTAACATTTTGCCCATGTTTAACAGCAGCAGAAGCAGAACAGCACCAGGCAGTAGTTGCACTGAAAGAATAACCATTTCATAGTGTATGGAAGGAGTGCTTTGTTTTTTCTGCATCCTGCCCCTTGCTTAAATCAGCCTTCCACAGATAATTTCAGTGTGTCTCCTCTCCATGTGTTATTTGGAAGTGTAAAATCCCTCTATCTATGAATAATAGAATTGATGGTCCCAATAAAGACTAAGAATATGAACTTAAAATAGCAAACTTAAAAAAGCTTTTGGTTAATCTCTTCTTAGAAGTGAATTGTGGGTTTTCTTCCCCTAGTGGAATGGAGTACAAAATTAAATATTAGAGTTATGGAACCTGATCCTAATTCAGAGAATATTGCTGCAATCTCTCAGTCTTCAGCGGGTTCAGACTGTAAGTACGGACCATACTTTGATAGTAGAGATCTATTACCTAAGTTTTCTTTTTAACATTTTTAATATAATGTAAGCCAAACTTGCCTTAAATCAGATGTTCATTTGAAGCTATTTTGCATAGGCACTTGCCTTCGGTTCTTGAGTTCTTTCTCCAACACCTGTTAAATATGCATTCATATTTAGTTCTTGGATGGCTCCAGAACATTCCTCATTTTTCAAAGTGCCAGTTCTTACTAAGCATTCAAAATCCAGGATTTCACCCCTTTGAAGTATTTCCAGTTTTCCTTGGAAGCTTTCATTATTCCTTCTCTACTCTTCATGTGCTTCCTACAGGTCTCCAATCCCATACTTAAGACAAAATGTGCAGTAGTTTTGGTGTCTGCCTTCTGCAGTGGGCCCTCATCTCTGGGGCAGAGCTGCTTCTTTATCTTTTTCATCTTCACAGCCCTCATTCCAAACCTGCTCAGCATGTCATAAGCATAGTAGACACCAGTAGATATTTGCTGAATCAAAGCTTAAAATAATCATGACCTGGGCTATTTATTCAAAGGCGCAAGTCCCAGGATTACCGTGGTCTCCCAACCTGAGGCTAGAACTCACATTTGCAGGCAAAATATTATTGTCTGTCTGTTTTTTCCCTCTAGTGTTTGTATTTAAACCTAGTGAGCCAAGGCCATTGTATATTCAAAAGAATATCTGCAGAGAGGAAGTCACCTGGGGAGTGTTTGTTCCCCGAGATGTCCCTGAATCATTCACCTCAGAAGCTTACCAGTGGCTAAACAGATCACAGTTTTATTTCCTAACAAAATCACAGGTAACCATCCCATCTCAAAAAAAGACAATCACTGTGTATATGTAATTTTCAGTTGTTTTAATATTTAAAAGTAACAGCCCCATAACAGGTGGAATAGTTTCATTAAAGGTTTACTTCCCAAAAGAAATAATTTAATATGCTCAATACAGCAGTGTGAATACATTAGCATCACTTTACCCCACACCTCTGAGACTCCTTAAGTATTGTTTTCATCAGAAGACGACTAAAATATTTTAAATTGTGCTTATTAGCCTAGTTGTTTTTGTTTTGTTTTCTGTTTGTTTAGTTGGTTTTTTTAGTATTTGATGTGGCATAAAGAGAACAGTGGCTTCAGTTTGATCCATCAGTTGAATTTCATTTCATTACCACTTCTAAAATATCTCTCAGAACAATCTTGTAACCATCACAACAGTTATTAAATAATGTTTTAATGTGTTACTATTTTTCTGTGGGCAGATATATACACACACACACACACACAAGGTGAAAAGTTGGCCTTCTCATTTTCTAACTTTGACATCTTTATTTAGATCTGCACTCTCGAATTTATCCTTTGCATGATTAAATCTCCTTTTTCAGAGTTTGTTGACGTTCAGTACAAAGTCTCCAGAAGAGAAACTCACACCAACAAGCAAACAGGTATGTTTTAGCCACTTGTAGTGCAGACTACATTGCCTCCCTATAAAGATAAGGTTATCTTTTAGAACTCAGCTGAGAAAAATGTTTCACCTGCCCTAATTTGAAATTTAAAACCATACACTTATAAACTACTTGTCTCTTTTGAGGCTATAGTACTTTTAAATGTTTTCATTTTTAGTATCAGTAAGTTATCCTTGTGATTTAAAGAGCTAAATAGTTCTGTAACTCTTCTCAGGAAAAACTTTTCTAACACCACTGCCATTACTCACAAAGATAATAACATTCAGCTTTTACCTCCATATCTCTTAAGAAACACGTTTACATTGCTAATTGTAGATTTTTCAGATTTATGTATTTGTTAGCTGATCTATTGAAGTTAACACTTTAGCTCTTATATCAGCATTCACTCCATATACATAAGACACACACCCTTCCTGTCCCCCAATTTTCTCAATATAAATTAAATTTATTCATTGTTATAACCATGTAAACACAACTCATAGCTGAATCATATAGTAGCAAATTTTTCCCATTTTTTTCTCAAGTTTTTGTTTTCTCTGAAGTTAATGATTGCCTTCTTTTTTCATTTGCTTAGCTTTCAATTTACTTCTTATATAATTCACCCCAAAATTCTACTAAAGTTATGCAGATCTCTCAGTATTTTCAGACACATTAGGTATTCTTCTGAGTCTTGAAGAAATATTTCCAAGAGCCTTCTGACCTTCAATCTAGACTGATTACTCTATAAACCTGTAGCACAGTAGTCATAGGATCTATATTCACCATCATTCTGGGAATTCATTTCACCTCTACTATAAAAAATCCCATAGTTCTCTTTTCTCTTTGGTTTCTCCCTTGCTTTGGTGAAGCACATTCTGTTATTGCATGGAAGCAAATTTAAGACCTTGAGTGTTTGGGAATGTTTTTGTTCTCTCCCTCTTAATTGGTTAGTAGGATATTGAGTAGTAGGTTGAAAATCATACTTGTCTTAGAACTTTGAAGGTATTATCTTATAGCTCTAGCTGTTAAAGAAATCCCATACCATTCTTATTCTTTATCCTTTATCTGTAATGTGGCTTGTTCATTTTCCTCTGAAAATTCATTGTTTGTTTTACAACTTTGTTATCATCAATATTGCTGAGGGCTATTCTGGATTCTTGGGATACAGCAATGAGCAAAATAGCCAAGTGTCCAAACTTGTGGTGTCTATAGCTTAGTAGGAAGATAGAGACAATGAACAACAAGTATTAAATAAGTAAAATGTTTAGTACTGTAGAAAGTGATAAGAATTATGAGGGGGAGAATAGAGGAAATGGGAATGTGGGGTGCAGCTTGCCATTTTTTTATGCAGCAAAGTAGGCCTTGATTAAAAAACTGGCTTTTCCTCTGGGTGAAATGCGGAACCTCTTATAGAGTTTTGATCAGAGAAATGACTAAGGTAGAATTACTCCTTTGCCTCTATTTCCTCTGTTATTTTTCTGGAATTCCTATTTAGTGCTGGGCCTTCTAGAATGGTACTTTAATAAATTTGTGTTTTCCTCTTGTTTTTTTTCTGTTTTTCTGGGAGGTTTCCCCATCTTTAGCATCAAAATTTTTTTTCCTCTCGCGTGGTCCGTTTTCATAATTTTTTTGTTTTTTTCATCTGTTTTGTTCAGTCTTTCATTTTGTAGGCTTTCATCAGGTCTGATGATTCTTGGCTATCTGCTTTTATTTATAAGTGAGGGAAAAAAAACATTTAGAAAGTCTCTGCCTAGGTGGAGCTTGTTCACTGGCCTCCACTATCTAGCTGAGTTATTTTGAGAAAGTCTCCAATGTCATTATTTTTAGATCTTTTTTCTCTTAAGCTGACCCTCCTTTTTATATTGAAGTAATTCCCCCTTTGTCCTAAATCCTTATAGCTACTAGCAGAAGAAAGTCTTCCGACAACCCCATTTTATTTCATATTGGGAAAGCACACACAGCAGCAGGATGAAAAATTAGCTAAGACTTTGGAAAATGAGCTGGTACAACTACCCTTAACAGAAAACATACCTGCAATTAGTGAGGTAAGTAATTAATGAAACAAACAATATGAAACAGGTTAAATGCACTAAAGCACCTTAAGTCAGAGTTTTTATACAATCAGTTGGTAACATAAACCTTTTGAATAATAAACCAAATAGCAGAAACTCACACTATGGGATTGTTGTGGCCCAACCTGGGGCGAAGGGAAGGGCTGTTGCTAGTATAAATGTAGGAACAGAGTTTTTGTTTAGTTTGGTTTTTCTGTGGAGAAAGCTCATGGCATTTAACCTTTTTAAATGAAACCCGATTTTTCTCTTTTTACTCTAGCTTCTTCATACTCCAGCCCATGTGCTTCCTTCTGCTTCTTTCCTGTGCTCCATGTTTATAAATTCATTGCTGCTGTCTAAGGAGACTAAGAGGTAAAACAGGTTTTAAAATAGATCTAGATATTGTTATGAGAAACAAGATGATTTGTGTAACTCTTTGTTGGATTATTCTACTCTATTTCTATTTCAGCTTTAACATACAGTAAAGGATATAGGATATTAAGCCAAACAAAATACATTGAAAACAGGTGTTAGAGATGTTTTGTGAGTGTGTTTTAAGGATAATTCAAAACTGTGCTTTTTATAAATTTACCTGCTCTTTAGGTATCCATAACTTTTAAAGTGGACTTAATCGGAGGACTTTTCATTTACTTTGTCCATATGATTATATTTCTATATAAGTGTCTTGAATTAGAAATTTCTTTTGAATATTGTTTATATTTTATTCTGTTATTATTAAAGTGCTGAAGAAACTCCTGATGATATAGAAATGGAAGAAGCAAAAGAAAGTGATGATTCAGATGAAGAAAATGATTTTACTGAAAAGGTCCAGGATACAAATAACACAGATTTGGGGGAAGACATTATACATCAGTCATCAAAATCTGAAGAAAAAGAACTGAGAAAATTCAGGAAGGTAGACTACAGCTGGATAACTGCTCTTTAAGCCATGGGGGAGGGTTCTTGTACTTTGTCTTTTATTATGTTTATATTCCAAAAACATGTATTTTAATGTTATTTCTGTTCGTAAAATAAAATATTAAATATTAGCAGGTTTCAGTTTTTATGCAGCCTGTAATATTGCGTCGTGCTTTACAGTTGATGGGTACATTCATATAGATGACATCTCTTTTTTATTTTGAGTCACATCAGCCTTATAAAATAGCTGTGATGATACAGTAGACCCTGAACTTAAACTTACACAGCATATTGGTACAGCCACTGTGGAAAGCAATATGGAGGTTTCTCAAAAAACTAAAAACAGAAATACTATTCTACCCAGTAATTCCACTTCTAAGAATTTACCCAAAGAAAACAAAATCTCTGACTCAAAAAGATACATGCACTCCAATTTATCACTACATTACTTACAGTAGCCAAGATAGGGAAACAACCTAAGTGTCCATCAATAGATGAGTGGGTAAAGAAGAGGTGGTACATATACACAGTGGAACATTACGCAGCCATAAAATGAAAAGAAATCCTACTCTTTGCAACAACATGGATAGATCTAGAGGGTATTATACTCAGTAAAATAAGCCAGGCAGGGAAAGACAAATACGTAAAATGATTTCATTTATTTGTGAAATATAAAAACAAACCAAACACAATGAACAAAACAGCAGTAGACTTAAGACACTGAGAAGTGACTATTGATTACAGTGGGGGAGGGGTTGGGGGAGAGAGGGGTAAAGGGGCACAAAAATTCTCAATCATAAGTTGGTATGGAGGTAGTAGTACAGCATGGAGAATAAAGTCAGTGATTCTGTAACATCTTCCTATGTTGACAGGTAGTAACCACACTAGTGGAGGCAAGTAATAATACGGCTAACTTAAACTGCTGTGTTGTATATTTTAAATCAATATAAGATCATTTATCAATGGTTAAGTCGATTGAAAAGAAATTATACAGCATATGTCCCATTATCTGCACTTCGGAGAAAAAGTTTTGAAAATCAAAAGATATTTTTGATAATTCTGTTGTTACTAAGTTTGACACCAAAGTTCATTTGGTGGTCAGCTATGAGCTGAAAGCTGATAAGAGGTTTTCTGTAGTTCTGACTCATCCTTCTTAGTGTATTTATTTCTGAGAGAAATGATTGATTATATGGTATTCCACAGACCCCTCTGAGGAAGTTAACATAAAACACTAACATGTACAAATGATAAGAGCAAATGGCAATGAATGTTTACAAAATTGCAATAAATGGCTTTTTAGTGTGTTTGAGTCAGTGTCCAAGTAAGGCCTATCCAGTTCTTTAAATAACAACCAGATTGAGATATAACTCACAAACTATATAATTCAGTAGTTTTTTAGAACACTCAGAGTTGTGCACCATTAATTACCATATTCAACTGTAGAATATTTTACCACCCCAAAACTTGGCCCATTAGCAGTCACTCCCCATTTCTTCAACCTACCCCAAACCTCACCCTTGGCAACCACTAATACTTCTCTACAGACTTGTCTCCTCTGGACATTGTATATAAATGGAACCATATGTGACTGGTTCTTTTCACTTAGCATCCATGCTGTGGCATGTCTCAGTACTTCGTTCCTTTTTATTTTCATTTCTCCTGGGTATATACCTAGGACTGGAATTACTGAATCACTTGCTAACTCAATAACTCTCAAGAACCATGACACTTAAATATCAACTGTACCATTTTACATTATTTGCAGTATGTGGGGCATAAGTGATTCCACAGTCTGATCCATTAAACCTAGGTCCCTTTGGAGGGTTAGTTTTTGAGGCCAGTCTAAGGATTAGTCTGATCCCTGGAGGATTGTTTTTCCCAGTAAACTAGCTGGTTTGTGATTTTACCTTGTTGCTCTCATGGAGCTACCAACCAGCATTTTCATGAGCAATGAATTTCACTTAGTCTTGAACTTCACTCTTTGAGTAATAGCAAAGCTTGATGTTTATGGGACTGCCTCTTGCTCCTGGGCAAAACCAGCCACTGCTCCAGAACTGGGGGCAGACTCTCAGAGTGACACCCCTGCTTTAACAACTGGTCAAAGAAAATAACCTCTGGTCTTTGCTTTGTCTTTCCTGGCATGAAACCTCTGCTCTAAGCAAGCCAAGCAAGCCTATGCCCAGATTTCAGTATTCTCAGCCTGGGGAGTGGGGCACATTGACATAGTTACCAATACATTTATTATTATTTTGCCATATCAGACACTCACATGGTACTTCTAAGTTTTAGGGCTACTTATTTTTTATTACATATGAAAGGTTTCATGGTTTCAAATTGTTAAAAGAGTAAGGCCACAGGCCCAGTGTAGTCACTCATGCTAGGCCAAATCACCAAACTGGGACTTCATACCTAACAAGTTTCAAGCTCCCCCAGAGATGTAGTCTTAACAGGAGTTTTCTGGTCCACATCAATGAGCTCGTCATCTCACGGGCCCTCCGTCCCCCAAGTCATGAGGGAAGGTGCATAGTAAGAACCCCTGCTCTTGCCCACCCTCCGTATAAAAGCCTTACATTTTGTACAACTCCTCAGAGCATCTCTGCTAGATGGTGCTGCTAAATTTATGGATCCTTTAATAAAGCCAATTAGACCTTAAGTTTGCTTGGTTGAATTTTGTTTTTTAACAAAATCAAAGTAAATCTGGAACATGTCTTAAATCATGATTATTGTATAATCTGAATAGTTGCTTTGTAAGTGTGGATTTAAGTCTTTCTACAGTTGATCACTCCTATTACACTAAAACATGACAACCTTGTTTTATTCTAATTTATTCTTAATTCCTGCACCAATATCAAAGTATTTTATTTCTCCCAAAGACAGCTACACAGATAAAAGGGAAATGGCTGCTCCATTCCTTAAAATCTGGACTTCCTTCAGCAGATCTGCAGTGCTGTCCTTCAGTTTCTTCCCCACAGAAAACTCGTCCCTTTATAGCACGTGAGCCCATAGAGATGACTCACCTTCTCTCTTCCCCCCTCCACGTGATGTACCTGTCAGGTACATGTCCATTAGCAGGTGCTCTCTCTAGTGCAGCCTTGAAGTATAAGATCTCAACCTCGTGGAAAATGGGCCACAGGTTAACCACCTACCACATGCCATGCATTTCACACACATCACACTCAACAATTCCGTATCTTGGGTATCTACCCCAATTTGAGAAAGGAGGAAACTGGCTTCAGAAAGAATAAGGAAGTAAAATGAAGTGCTCCCTCCCCATACAAATGTTTTTGGTTATAACACTACTACTACTGTATTTCAAATACAGGAAAAGAGTATAAAATTTGGATATTATATGAAATTATGCACCTGACTATACACAAAATTTTTATGAAAAGTCTAGGCTAACTGAATGACTGCATACCAATTACAATAGGTTTCCTTCATTTTTTTCCTCATTATAAACTAGCACCAGTGTAGAAATTATAGAATATGTTGTAATGTTGTCAACAATGTATCTTAACTTCAAGTCTTTGTGCTATGACTATAATGGAGCTTTTAACAGAAACCTACTAAGTTAAACATAACTAGTTGGTTAAAATTAACTAAACCTTGTAAATGGCACTAATTTTTCTGTGAGGCTGCTATATCTGACCTACTACTTCTGATAACTGCTTTCCTCTGTTAGCTGTGCTTCTCCATAGCCATGAAAACAGCGAAAGTATCTTAAACCACCAAAGTCAAGATTCTGTAAACCATGAAATCTTAAATGAAATAGTAAAAGATGAGATCCAGAAGGATTTAGGATCCCAGGTAGATAATTTATCACTTAGATTATAGAGAAATAGAAATGGAAGTAACTGGGATTCTAGAGGAGTATACCATGGGACTGGAAGGGAGATGCAATCAGTGATTAAATTGCTCACATTGCTTTTGTTTTCCTAATACCATGAGCAAACCACTTACTCTCCACATCACAGTTCCTTCATCTAAATTGCAGAACTAGGCAAAATGATCTCTTCCAGCTGTGACCACAAAACTCAGATGCCAGAGTGACATAATAGCCCCCACTCCCGCCCCATGCCCCAAAATACCAAAGTCTGGTCCTGCAAGTACTAAATTAGTGGTGCCTGTATTATAAATATGTAGAGATACAGCTATCTTAGTTTCTCATCTTCAGACATGACATACCTCTGGCTTGGAAATTCCTTGGGAGATCAGAACATTCAGCTCAGAAAATGAAATAATCAGACATGAAAGCACAGCAGTTCCTCCCATTGTTGGGTTGAGTTTTGATAATCCTTGTTGCTCAGTGGTTACCTACTTTAACGGAAGGACAAATATAAGCGCGCTGAAAACAAGCACTGTAAGTGCAAATATTGATATTATATTCTAGCTCACATAGGAAGGTAAATTTAAACTTCTTGTTCCCTCAGAAATGCCTGTCTGCAGTTCTGAAATTTGAGTCCACTAGCCCAGCTTTATTTAGTGAAAAGTGCCTCATGCCAAAAGACCAGGTCTAGGAGTCAGAAGTCCACTAGTTCAAGCTCTGCTGCTTACTAGGTCTGTACTTGTATTAAGGTTATTTTAGGCCTCTGTTTTTTATCTCTGAAATAAGAGGACTATGTTTCATAAGATAGTCCTCTGAAGCCCTTTCTTGACTCTCAAATTATGATTCTCCAAAGTGCCCAGAATTCTATTGGCCCTACTCAGAACTGTGTGCTTTTGCTGCTTAATTATAGTCCTTTGGTGCTAGAGAGAAGAGTAAACAAGCAACTCAAAAAGTTTCATTTCTGAATAAGAAGATTCTGCACCTATACAGGCTGTAGATGTCCTTGGCCTGAATCTCTGCAGCTTGACCCAAGAGAACAAATCATAATCAGAACTTCTTGCCAGCAACTTCACCAGAAACTATGAACAAAAAGGTAAAAAATAGAATGAGGGAGCAGGCAGGATGACACACAAGGGGCGCTCCTATGTGTTGCATGAAGGATACCATATAGACAAAAAGAAAACAGCTTTACAATTTTCACTTATATTCACAATCGAGATGAAAACGAAGGCCAAAGCTTGCCCTGTCAAATCAGATCTAATTACCAGGCTCCAAGTACTCCCAAAACCCACTGAATTACATATT